TGCTTTTTATATTTGTAACTCCAAGCATATCTCTGAACTCTTCAAATTTCTGCCTTGGAAGTGCTTTAGTCAAGATATCTGCAACTTGAACTTCAGAATCACAATGTTGCAAAATAATCTCTTTATCCCGAACATAATTTTTGATAACATGATATTTAATCTTGATGTGTTTGGTCTTACCATGCTGCACTGGATTTTGAGCAATAGCAATTGCTGACATGTTATCTACCTTGAGTACACAAGGCTCAATTTGATCAAAACCAAGTTCTTCAAGCACCATTCTAAGCCAAATAGCATGATTCGCTGCTGCTCCAGCTGCTAAATACTCAGCCTCAGCTGTGGACTGAGCTACAACATCCTGCTTCTTTGAATTCCAAGAGAAACTCCCTGAACCAAAGGAGAACACATAACCTGTTGTGCTTATCATATCCTCCATAGAACCTGCCCAATCACTATCAGCATACCCCTGTAACCTTCCTTGTTGATTACTGTCAAACCACAAGCCAAGTTCATAGGTTCCTTTGATGTACCTAAGAACTCTCTTGGCTGCAACTAAATGAAGTTTACTAGGAGTTGACATAAACCTTGACAAATAGCTTGCTGCAAACATCAAATCAGGTCTTGTAGTAGTTAAATAAAGCAGGCTACCAATTAAACTTCGGTAGTATGAGGAATCAACCTTGGTTTCTTGATCATCCTTGGAAAGCTTTTCATATTGAACCAGTGGAGTGGCAACTGGTTTACAACTCTCCATTTCAAACTTCTTCAAGATATCCAGTGCATACTTTCTTGGCAAATGAAAATTCCCTTGCTCAATTGCTGAACTTCAAGTCCCAGAAAATACTTTGTCTCTCCCAAATCTGTCATTGCAAACTCCTGCATCATAACCTTCTTGAATTGTTCCATCAACTTCAAATCATTTCTAGTTAACAATAAGTCATCCACATAAAGTGACAAAATAAGCTGAGATTCACTACTGCTGCCTTTCACATACAAAGTTGCTTCTTCTGTGCTCCTCCTGAATCCTTGACTCATCAAGTAGTCATCAATTCTGCAATACCAGGCCCTTGGCGCCTGTTTTAGACCATACAAAGCCTTGTTAAGCTTATAAACATAGTCTTCCTTCCCTGTAATCTTAAACCCATGTGGTTGTTCAACATAAATTTCCTCTTGTAGAACACCATTAAGGAAAGCTGATTTTACATTCATATGAAACAACTTCCAACCCAAATTAGCAGCTAATGCAATTAGAAGCCTTACTGTATCATGCCTTGCCACCGGAGCATAAGTCTCTCCATAATCAACCCCCGGCTGTTGAGCATACCCCTTCACAACAAGTCTGGCCTTATGTTTGTGTATAGAACCATCTGGATTTAGCTTAGTTCGAAACACCCACTTCACTCCAATAGGCTTCTTATCATCTGGTTTTGGAATAAGACACCAAGTTTGATTTTTTTCGATCATAGACAGCTCCTCCTTCATGGCATCAATCCAAACTTGCTGTTTAGCTGCTTCTTCAAAACAATTAGGTTCTGCAGAAGCTAAATTGCATCTTGCATAAATCTCAGCTAGTGACTTGGTTTTCAAAACCGGTGAATCATCATCAACTTCTGCAATTTCAAAACTGGAAGCAACATCTGAACCAGCTTCACACTGCTTATTTGAACCTTTTTCTATCTTCCCTGCATCCCAATTCCAGTGTGCACTCTCATAAAAAACAACATCTTTATGCACATTTACCTTCTTGGTTATAGAATCATACACCTTATAGCCTTTTGCTTGTGTTGCATAGCTTATAAAGATCCCAATTTTTGCCTTCTCATCTAATTTTCCTCTTTTAGCTGCTGGAACATGATTATAACAAATTGAACCAAACACCTTCAAGTGATCAGTTGATGGTTTTTGACCATACCAAGCCTCAATAGGTGTCATGCCTTTTACCGCCTTTGTTGGTAGACCATTTAAGAGATAGACAGCTGTATAGACTGCTTTAGCCCAAAAACATTTAGGCAATTTCTTCTCTGCTAACATGCACCTTGCCATCTCCATAACGGTTCTATTTTTCCTCTTTGCAATGCCATTCTGCTGTGGTGTATAAGACACTGTCAATTGATGATCAACACCAGCTTCTTCACAAAACAAATTGAAATCATTGGAGGTATACTCCTTGCCATTATTTGATCTGAGCTTCTTAATTCTGCATCCACTTTGGTTTTCAACCAAAGCTTTGAATTTTTTGAACACAAGCAAGGCTTGACCTTTGTTGCCAAGAAAGTATACCCATGTCATTCTTGTAAAGTCATCAATAAAGAGGATGAAATATCTGTTTTGGCTGAGAGATGGTGTTCTCATAGGACCACAAATATCCGTATGCACCAGTTCAAGCTTCTGAGTTGTTCTAAAAGATTTATTCACAGGAAAAGGCAACTTATGCATCTTGCCTAGTTGACAACTTTCACAAACACTATCAATTAAATGCAATTCTGGCAAATCTCGAACAAACTCATGTGTTTGCATAAATTTTAGGCCTTTGACATTGAAATGACCATATCTTTTATGCCATAAATCTGCATCCACAATTTTAGAAGTAGAAAAACAATGCTGCACCTTTTCCAAATCCAAAGGAAAGCTATTTTCTACCATTTTCACCCTAGCTATCTCATCACCAGTA